ACTTATCCAGCACATTTTTACACAGCGGATGCCCTTCCAGCCACAACCCATCTCTGAGAAATATTCACACACACACACACACACACACACACACACACACACACACACACACACACACACACACACATACACTACAGACAATTTAGCCTACCCAATTCACCTGTACCACATGTCTTTGGACTGATCTGAATATATAATATTTAAAAGATTAAAAAATAATTTAATAAGTTTCATGTAAAAAGAAAAAAAAATAAGTAAAAGAAGAAATATGGAACACAAAAAAGTGATGTGGAAAGATGTGAAATGGGGTGGGGAAAATAATAAGCTTGAACCTTCACCCCTCTCCAGTTCGAATCGGCTAAATTCATTTGTTATTTTAAATGTTTACAGATAAGTAAATACTTTTATTGATCATGAAAAAATGTATTTTGTTTGATATTTTGTTTTAAGTGTATGATATTCTCTTTGAAATAAATCATTCAAATCAAATCACTCATACATTCACTCACTCACTCACACCCTTACTTTTCTTCAGCTTAGTGTAATGAACAGTCAATTACTCTGGCCATATTCTACTGGCAGATGCCCTTCTTGCAGTCCAGCTGTGAGAGTGCACTTACTCATGCAAGCCCCAGTGCTGGGAATTTGGAAACACCCACACACTCTCCTATTCTCACACACACACACACACACACACTCACACACACACACACACACACACACACACACACACACACACACACACACACACACACACACACACACACACACACACCTATATCCAACACCACATGTAGGAGGAAACCAGAGCACCCAGAGGAAACCCACGGGACACTAGGAGAAAGTCAGACTCCATATAAAAGACATCATGGTCCAGCTGGGACTTGAAACAGGGACCTACTTTGTGTGAGATGACAGTGCTACCCTCCAAGCCACACAGTGACTAATGTTTTTTTTTTTTATGTTGAGAAAATCGTAAAAACCTTTTGAGGCCACAAATATGCAAAAAGGTATTTCATTTTTTGTTTTAGTCTCATCCCATCCGCCTTGTATGGTATATTGTTTCTTTTTACTCTCTTTTTGAGTGCATCTCACCATCACATAAACTTGTAGTTGGACAGTGTTGATATGGAAACATGAGCTGAACTCCTGAAAGACATCTCTCATCAGTCATGATGCATAATGAATAGAGATAATCTATGGGAATATGCATATAAACAGGCAATCAGAGAAATATGCACAAAATGAATGTATAAAAAGGTTAGAGATAATGCATGTAATGTGTCCCAGATTTGCAGATATGGCGGGATAAAGGATTGGCTCTTTCAGCCGTCTTCACCTGTAATTCAACTGCACCAGCGCTGATAAGAAGCACTATGTCAAATGAATGTTTATGTTTGGTGCAGCTTACATTACAATACATTCTTAAACCAGATGAGCTCATTGTACACTGCTAACAGAGAGAGATTTAAGGGTCTGGGCTTGAGATTATATTTTGGCCCCTACTATGCTTCAAATATATTAAGAGTTTAACTTTAAAGTCATAATAATCATCAATAAGTTTCAGCATGCGTTCTGTGAATGTTACACCTAAAATAACAATATTAAAGAATGAGATTCACAATGTTTTTTTATTTTATTTTTTTCATTTGTGGGTGAGTAAATAGTGAAAACTAAATTTTTCCTTGGAGTTCAATCCCTACTTCAACCAATTTGATAACATGTTAATTTGTTTAACTAAGCAAATGACTATATTCATAAATGGGTTTCAAATGTGCTGATTCTTTAAGGAGTAATTGACTCTGATCCATTGTATTATGTAAGGAATGACTGACTGCTTCATGGCCGCATCAACACCTCAGATGTGCATTGCTTTTTAATAATTCAACATCCTGGAGTCATTTATTCCATTTAATATACTATCAAATACTTAAAGAGGTTCAAGTGTTGCATTTCAATATATGGTGAGTACATAAGGTGTGTACATAATTTGAATCAACTGAAATTATTCAGAGTAGTGATATGATACTGTAATGGGGTCAAGACCTGCCTGGAAGTACTTTAGCTGTGTGTTTATTTTAAAATAATTGTATACCTTAGAATTTCCATCAGCCAATAAGAATCAAGCATTGTTTGGGACACAGTTGGAGGCTATTAGCCCCAGCTGGCCTGTTTATATAGTCCTCACCACTCACTCTGGGCCAGCAGTGGCAACGTGTCTGGCATATTTCTGAACAAGTAAAACAAATGTAAATAGGTGAAGGCCCATGGGTTGAAGCCACTCAGGCCCAATGGTAAGTTCAGCCTGACGACCTGTCTGGACACACCTGAATAAAAACGGCACATATTTTCCTTATGTATTGCTTTTTGACAGCTTGTGCCAACATATCTTTATCTTTACAAAGTTGATATTTCAACTCTCTATGTCATTAGCGAAGGAAGCAAAAATGAAGAAAAATCAACGGACAGACCAGCCTGCATTGTGAAGTCGATCAGTGTCCAACAGACATACAAGATCCTTCAATAAGGTTTAAACACATGCCATATTCACCTCTTGACGGTAATTGAGTAAATTTGCAGATCTGTAACATCAAAACAAGCAGTGCTTTGTAAAATTATTTTAAATAACTAACTGAACTAAATAAAGTGAGTTTAACGTGTTTTCGTCCGACAGTCATAATATAAAGTGTTCTTTTGCTGCCATCTGCTGGTTTAACACGGTGACAGTTCTGTAAAAGAGGGCTTATATCCTATTTCTTTGCAACATTCTTTAAATACCGGTAATATTATAATGCCATTAGGAAATAATAATAATAATGAGAATACTAACTGATTGCAGCAAGAAGGTCGCTGGTTCGAGCCTCCGTTGGCATTTCTGTGTGGAGTTTGCATGTTCTCCCTGCTTTGGGTTTCCCCCGTGTGCTCCGGTTCCCCCCTACAAGTCCAAAGACATGTGGTAGGCCTACATGTGAATTGGGTAAGCTAAATTGACCATAGGGTATGTGTGTGAATGACTGTGTATGGGGGTTTCCCAGTGATGGGTTGCAGGTGGAAGGGCATCCGCTGCTTAAAATATATGCTGGATTAGTTGGCGTTTCATATCGCTGTGGCAACCCCAGATTAATAAATGAACAAAGCGAAAAAAAAATGAATAAATGAAAAAATAAAGGGCAGGTCACTTTATTTTATTCTTTTTATTTATTTTATTCATTTTTATGCTTTAGGAAACAGAGGTGTGTGAAGATGTTCTGATGTTAATGTTCTGTATGCTGTTGTTTGCAGTAATGCAGTATTTAATGTGTCAGATATAAAATAGATGTCAATTCATTTTTATTTTTATTTTTAAATTGTATAATAAGTCAATATTAATCTGACCGGTTAATGGTTAATATTCGGTTAGCCAGCGTCAATTAGGAAAATTAACTGAAATGAGGATCCCTAAGGACTCCATGCCTGGAACTGCTTAGGGACTCCAAATCCTTAAGTCTGTCCTTGTTTGGATTTCAAAATCGTAGCTGAAATTGTGGACATTTTGCAGTTTATAAAGTTATTTATTCATTAATTTATTTTTTGCAATATTTTGCAAGAACTGAAATATTATATATATATATATATTATACTGTATATTTAATGACTAAAATATACTATTAAATATGTCTTATATTTTATACATTTGCATATTATTTGCATACCTATATTCACTGAGAAATTAATTTTCAAAATGCGGTGAACTCTTATACTATGTATATATATATATATATATATATATATATATATATATATATATATATATATATATATATATATATATATATATATATATATATATATACATACATACAGTTGAAGTCAGAATTATTAGCCCTCTGATTTATTAGGCCCCCTGTTTATTTATTAATAGTTTTAATAACTCATTAATAACTAAAAACTTGTTTATTTTATCTTTGCCATGATGACAGTAAATAATATTTTACTAGATATTGTTCAAGACACTTCTTTACAGCTTAAAGTGACATTCAAAGGCTTAACTAGCTTAACTAGGTTAACCAGGCAGGTTAGGGTAATTAGGCAAGTAAATGTATAATGATGGTTTGTTCAGTAGACTATCGAAAAAAATTTTGCTTAAAGGGGCTAATATTTTTGTTGAATAATTTTGTTGAAAGACACAAAATTTTAAAAATGATGTTTAAAAAAAATAAAAACTGCTTTTATTCTAGCCAAAATTAATTTTGTTTTATTTCTGCTGGTTGCCATGTCTCACACCTGCATCACTTAAACCATGACGTTTATTTCACATCAGCTTGTACTTCGTACTGTCTAGTATTGTGACAACTTACTTGTCCTCACTGTTAGGTCAATATTGAAAAAAGGTCAACAGAGCACAAAGCTCAACGAAAAGTAAAATGTCAGTGTTTAAATAAAAAGGTTAATCCAATAAATTACATGCAGGAAAAAGTTCAAGGAACATTACAAAAAGAAAGGCTCCGATTAATGCTGTGCTGTCTATGCCTTTAATACAATTTATGATGTTTAAAGTTAGTAAATGTTTGAAGTGCATATGAAGTTGGTTATATGATCAATAAAAGAGAACCATATGGGCTATTAATGCAATCTGCTTAGCTTTTAGATTTTCTTTTTTAAAAACGTTCTAAATTAAGTGCAGTGAAATTGTATTAACATCACTGTTCCCGTAAGTGCATCTTTGTACGTTTCATATACATAGCCCAGATTGTTCAAATGGTGCAGTTAATCCCGTTGAGTTTCACTATAAAATGTCAAGGCCAATTGATTCTGCATGGCCTTTCCACCCTCTAAATGTAAATAACATTTTATTTTATAACCCGCCTTTAGCCTGTTTTACAGCAACTGCAGAAACCCAGAGATAGCATTTCAAGATTAAGGGCGTTAAGAGAGACGTCCGGAAAAGTGGGACATAAGGTAAAGTGGGTCAACTACATATATTTCTTGATTATTCTTAAAGTATCAGGAGCCAATCATATTGTAGCACTCATGAATAATTAACACAATGTGGCCGATTTGACGTGACATCATTGGTTTGCTTCTACACAACAACCACATGGTAAGTTCATTGATAAATACTCTGCATAGAAGCTTTTATTAATGTATTTTTCGGTGTACTTTTATTTTAAATATATTAATTGGCATTTTCTGAAAGACACATTCGATTATTTGAAAGAAGGTTTATTATTGTGACCCACTTAGCTTAGCTTAGCACGTTAGCATGTTAAGGTAAAGTGGGACAGCTGCTGCCCGTTATTGTGGGACGATTCAAAGCTCTTCTGATTAAAAATGAACATTCGCCGTCATACACGGATCTAATCAAAAGCTCGCTGCTTTCTAATATTCTACAGGAAACTGGATACTAATGTAATGTCCAATGTTTCTTCTTCTGTTGTTTAAAGGTTTGAGTAGTTTGAATCAGATCAGTTTTATCTGTAGGATGGGTAAAAGATAACAAAATGACAAAAAATAGCACTAGCTACCTAGCTTTTATACGAGGCTATTATATGATAACATTTTTATGACATCATGCTGATAAATACATTTATTCCTAATAGAAAATAAAAAAGTAAAATTTAGAGCATTTTGAATTTAAAAATAGCAAAGGTGCCATGTTTACAGATATTTAAATTCATTGTGAGAAAATATTAACGTTTTAAGAGTGTTGTTAACCATGATTTTACACCTGAGGGTCTTTATTGTGGCTGAAAGAACTAAAGTCAGGGTGTCCACTGAGTCTTAAAAAGTCTTAAAGTGTCTTCAATTTCAAAAACTACATTTTACGCCTTAAAAAGTCTTAAATTAGCTGAAATATTGTGTTGTAGGTCTTAAATCGTTTTAACCAGTTCTTAATTTTGCAATGTCCAAATAAAGCTACTTCATCGGGCTGAGATCTGTCCAATAACCAACAATACATCTCAATAAAATCTTATTCTTTATATTTAAGATTCAATTCACTACACCCTATAGACATTTTTACAGCAAATTCCCCATTAAATTCCCTAAGCGGGCAAAAAATAAATAAATAAAAAATAAAAACAATTATATGATTCATCTTATTGGGTCATAAGAAAAAAAAAATCCTTAGTGTTTAACCTTGTATAAGTTGAAAACTTTATTCTTGGTGGTCTTAAGGGGGTCTTAAAAAGTCTGAAATTTGACTTGATGAAACCTGCAGAAACCCTGTAAAGTGCTGATATGAACTGGATTGATGTTATTGCATTGGCCTGAATTGCTGTTTAACTGTCTAATTTATTATCTTTAAATTGTTCACATCAATTATTTAAATTATGATTTTTATAAGGGAGGTATTTATATCAATATGTTTGACAACACTAAAATGTGTGTGCGTACACACATGGTCAGTATATAATAAAAGTTGCATAGATTTGGTTATTTAATTGTAGATGAGTGCAAAGTATACTTGTAAAACAATATATTTAGTGGAGTGTAGACCTAATTCAAAAACATTATTTTTTATAGAAAAAATGGCACCTATTCGGAAGCAGTCAGAAAAACTGCAAGATGAAAGACAGCTCAAAGGAAGAAAAGGGCTGAAGATGAATCAGTGGAAGGAGAACCAAATGAAAGCTGCGATAGAGGAGTATAAAGTGCAGGTTGAATCAGGGAAGAAACCTGTGGTAAGATTGCTTGCAAGGAAGTGGAACTTGCCGAAAACAACATTTCAAAGACGTTTGAAAGGACTTCTTGCGAGATCTGGGTGTGAATCTGGAAGAACAACATTCATTCCTGTTAAATCTGAATTAGGGTGAGTGAACCTTCTTATTTTGCTATATACATACTTATATCTACAGTGGCTACCTAAAATATTAGCATGGCTCAATGTTAAGGATTTTTACCACTTGTGAAGTCAGGCCGGTTGTTTAGATTTTCACTTCATCCCAGTTTATTACTGGTTTAAAAAAGATCATCTTAGATATTCTAGCTTATTCATTGTTTTGAATCATGTATGATTCTAATAAATAATGCCATTTAGCAATCTAGTAAATTTCACAAATCTTAATTTCATTTCAATATAAAAGAAGAAACTGCTAGCCTTACTTAATAAAGATAAAACATTTTTGAATTTGAGTGAACAGTCAGTAATAAAAATAGGCAAATTAGAACCAATAATGGGAATAAATTCATTGGAACAAATACAAATGAAATCACTGCTTAGAGAGAGAGAGAGAGAGAGAGAGAGAGATGCACAAACAGTGTCCAAGTAATGAGTTCTTTATTTTGTCGAGCATTACATATCAAACAAACAGGGGTTGGACAATGAAACTGAAACAGTGGTCAATTTAGTGTTGGAGGTTTCATGAGTACATTTGTTCTTCATTGATTGCACTTTCCACCAGTATGTGCAGAGTATGAAGGTTCCGTTAGCAAAGTAATGTCACAATTTTGCTTAAAATATTGTAATGCACACAACATTATGGGTGACATATCATAGTTCAGAAGAAAACTAATTGTTGGTGTGTATCTTGCTTGCCTATCTGTGACCAAGATAGCAAGTTCTTGTGATGTTTTAAGAGCCACGGTATCCAGAGTAATGTCAGCATAACACCAAAAGGATGAACCACATCCACCGTCGGCACAAGAGGAAGTTTTCTGAAAGATATGCCTGGGTGCTAACCCCGATTGTTTTCAAAAAACATAAAACCACAGCTGCCCAACTCAATGCAGAATTAAACATGTTCCTTAACCCTAGTCTTTTCACTAAAAACCCCTGGGTCAGTGTACATGACCAGGCTGCAATTGCCAAACTTTTGGTCACTTCTTCCAATGCCAAACGTTTTCAATGGTGCCAGCAGCGTAAATCTTGGATCTTTCTCGTGTGTTGCTGTATATATTTAAAGTTTTGTACAGAAGTGATAGATTAACTGTAGCCGAGGATGACATATGTGCGAAACGTAATTTTATTAGTGGAGTAGACCCAATTCAACATTGTTTTGTCTTTTTATAGAGAACTGGCACCTGACCGAGAACAGCGAGATGAAAGCCATCTCGAAGGAAGAAAAGGACTGAAGATGAATCTGTGGAAAGAAGACCAAATGAAAGGTGCGCTAGAGGAGTATAAACTGCAGGTTGAATCAGGGGAGAAACCTGTGGTACGTTTGCTTGCAAGGAAGTGGGACTTGCCGAAAACAACTCTTCAAAGACGTTTGAAAGGACTAGTTGAGGGATCTGAACATGCATCTGGAAGAAAACCATTCATTCCTGTTGAATCTGAACGGGAGTTAGCAAACCTTCTCACCTCGCTTGTAGAGAGAGGCTTCCTGTTGAGGAAGACTGATGTTCAGTCTCTTGCTTTTGAGTTTGCCAAAATAAATGGCATACAAGGATTTTCAGAAAACAAGCAAAAGGCTGGCTGTTGCTGGTTTGAGGGCTTTATGAAGCGAAACCCTGGGCTGCAAATAAAGAAACCAGAAGCCATATCACCAGCTACAACAATGAATGAAAAGGAACTGAGTAGCTGGTTCAGAATGTACAAAGATATCCTTGATGCATTGGGAATTAAGGACATACCTTCACATATTTGGAAGTGTGATTTATCAGAACTACAAGACATTTTTTTGTCTGAGCAATATGTCAATGAAGGAGAAGACCCTTGCTTTCAGATCAACACTGAAGGGGAAACTGAAGAGGTTTCTGCTGTATTAGCAGCATTCAATGCCTGTGGAACATTTGCTCCACTTATCATTTTTAAAGGAAGCATGGTGAGAAATGAGTGGTTGAGCGCGTCTCTTGAAAACATGTGCATGAGAGCATCAGAAAGCGGCTGGATAACTGCAGACATGTTTAATGACTGGGGTGAAACGTTTGTGGCACAGCTCCCGAAAGACGACACCAGACCCCACCTTCTGCTTCTCGATGACCAGAGCCGCCATGTCTTTAATCTCAGCTTTCTCAGTATCATGAACCAGAACAATGTGGAAGTCATATGCTATCCTGCATTGCAACAATCAAGCCAAGCTCTGTTTCAAAGTCTTAAACACAACTGGTGTGAAGCGATCACCGATCAGTGGCATCCTCAACATGAAGACATGAAGTTGCCCAAAGGTCATTATTGTTCTGTTTTTATGGAAACATGGAGTAGAACTGCCACTGTGGAAAGAGCTCGAGATGGGTTCAGGACAATGGGGATGTTCCCAATTAATGAGTTTGCCTCCATTGAGCTTGAAATTTCTCCTTCCACCCTGGAGGGTTTCACAGCGTCTGTTGAAGATGAAGCAAATTGCAGCATTGAAAGTGGCCTGGATGAACCTCCAGCTGCTGAAGTAGCTTCATTCAAAGAGTTTGTCAGAGTTCAAATAAGCAGCAGGTGAGTAAAGACACCCTATGCCATGTTTGTAAAAAAATAAATAAAAAAACTCAGAGCACCTTCTTTATAATGGTCATTTAAAACAAAAATACACCCCACCTTATACAGTTAAAGTGGCTGTCTGATAGAACATGGCACAGATTATGATCCAGAAGCTTGTTTTAATATAAATATGCCATCATTTCTAAGTTGAATTAATCCTTAGACATATTTCAACCATTCAGTTTCAAAATGTTTCAATGATTCTAAAATTATTCACTGAAAAATACTAAAAACTTTTTTGAAGGATTCCAAATTCTTAAAAAAAAAACGCACAGTTTTCAGTATTAACTAGTGACTTATTACCTGCCTATTATTGAGATATTGGCTGTTTATTAGCATGTATAAAGTATTTTGCAGCATCATATCGAATTTGGCAAACATATTGTTGTGTCTTTCTAGGGCCTTTATAGTCACGTAGCATGACAACATGTTGGTTTTGCTTATAATGTCCAGAACATCCAGGGCACTTTCTGAATTCAAAGAGCTACGAGATCATACCTAAAAGACTTGTTATATCCTCTATTTCCGCACACTTACACAGTATAGACACAGATGAATGGGAGGAACATTTCATTTAACTCTCATTCTGTCACATCAGTGTTCAGATTATTTTTTAATTAATGCCTTATAGTGAATCAGAGCTGCTCTGTTTGGACTTTTCTTATGCGTGACCCCAGTGTTCAGTAGGGCATAATATATTGCAAATATTTCAATGTGTCTGGACTGCTGCACTTACTTAATATGCATTGGTGTGCCAAAAAATGTTTAAAAAAATGAATTAATATTAAACTTTCAGAGTCTCTAAGGCATGACCTGCATCATGGTAATGTTCAGAGCGCATACACCGCATAAAAAAATAAACTTATGACAGAGTAATTGGGGATTCATTCTGCTGTGGTGTGACCCCAGATAAATCAGGGACTAAACTGAAGGAAATTGCATGAGCGAGTGATGTTATTGTTTTTATTAGCAGAGAAAAGGGTAAACCTAATTTAACTGAATTGTTTTATCTTTTTGAATAGACACATGACACCGAACCTAACCGAAATGTCAGAAATACAACAAGATGAAATACAGCTCAAAGGAAGAAAAGGATTGAAGATGAATCTGTGGAAAGAAGACCAAATGAAAGGTGCGCTAGAGGAGTATAAACTGCAGGTTGAATCAGGGAAGAAACCTGTGGTACGATTGCTTGCAAGGAAGTGGAAACTACCGAAAACAACCCTCCAAAGACGTGTGAAAGGACTTATTAAGGGATCTGAACATGCATCTGGAAGAAAACCATTCATTCCTGTTGAATCTGAACGGGAGTTATCAAACCTTCTCACCTCGCTTGTAGAGAGAGGCTTCCTGTTGACGAAGACTGATGTTCAGTCTCTTGCTTTTGAGTTTGCTAAAATAAATGGCATACAAGGATTTTCAGAAGACAAGCAAAAGGCTGGCTATTACTGGTTTGAGGGCTTTATGAAGCGAAACCCTGGGCTGCAAATAAAGAAACCAGAAGCCATATCACCAGCTACAACAATGAATGAAAAGGAACTGAGTAGCTGGTTTAGAATGTACAAAGCCACTCTTGATGCATTGGGAATCAAGGACATACCTTCACATATTTGGAAGTGTGATTTATCAGAACTACAAGACATTTTTTTGTCTGAGCAATATGTCAATGAAGGAGAAGATCCTTGCTTTCAGATTAACACTGAAGGGGAAACTGAAGAGGTTTCTGCTGTATTAGCAGCATTCAATGCCTGTGGAACATTTGCTCCACTTATCATTTTTAAGGGAAGCATGGTGAGAAATGAGTGGTTGAGCGCGTCTCTTGAAAACATGTGCATGAGAGCATCAGAAAGCGGCTGGATAACTGCAGACATGTTTAATGACTGGGGTGAAACGTTTGTGGCACAGCTCCCGAAAGACGACACCAGACCCCACCTTCTGCTTCTCGATGACCAGAGCCGCCATGTCTTTAATCTCAGCTTTCTCAGTATCATGAACCAGAACAATGTGGAAGTCATATGCTATCCTGCATTGCAACAATCAAGCCAAGCTCTGTTTCAAAGTCTTAAACACAACTGGTGTGAAGCGATCACCGATTGGTGGAGTAATCAATGTGTAGACATGAAGTTGCCCAAAGGCCATTATTGTTCTGTTTTTATGGAAACATGGAAGAAAACTGCCACTTTGGAGACAGCTCAGGATGGGTTCAGGACAATGGGGATGTTCCCAATAAATGAGTTTGCCTCCATTGAGCATGAACTTCCCTCTTCCACCCTGGAGAGTTTCACAGCGCCTGTTAAAGATGAAGCACATTGCAGCACTGAAAGTGGTTTGGATGAAACTCCAGCTGCTGAAATGGCTTCATTCAAAGACTCTGTCAATGTTCAAACAACCAGCAAGTGAGTAAAGACACCCTATGCCATGTTTGCAAAAAAATAGTAATTTCAGAGCACCTAATTTATAATGAACATTTAAAACAAAAAAGACACCCCACCTTCTACATTTGAAGTGGCTGTCTAAAAGAACATTCGATTCCAGTTTTTTTGTATAGCACTTTTTACAATAATAATTATTTCAAAGCAACTTTACAGAAGATGAACATTATTACATTACAATCAAAATCTGATAAATTAAGGTTATTAGTTACTGTACCTTTATTAGTTACTAATACCTTTAATTAATAGTGACTAATTACTAATAACTTTTAACAGTTAAAGTTATTACAGATCAACATAGTTAACCTGCAGTTATATAGGATATACGTGATGTCTGTGTACATGTTCAATGAAGAGTATTAAGTGTATGTGTCGTCTTCGAAATCCTTGGATGGTTGGCATCATCTCTTCACAGGCCTTGAATCTCATCAAGTGGCGCTGCGCAATCTCTAGAGGCCTTGGACACCCCCAGGTGGAAATAGAGAGCAAAAAAAATAATTAGCGTAGCTGCTGTTCATAATATACTTAAAAACAAGAGATGTATTTGTCAGTTTGAAATGAAGTGCTATAAATGAAAATAGGTGCTATCTTAACAATCATAGAAACAAACTTATAAAACATTGAATTATTTCTAAAAACATATCCTGGTGTATAAAGACAGGAAGAGTGTGTCCTTCTGGTGGATTGTCAAGCCCACTCACCTGCATGGAGCAAACTCACGTATTCAACCGTCATGTGATGCATTGTGTGTTTGCTTTACCAAAAATATAGGGCTTCAATCTAGGTTTAAACTGAGAGTGTGTCTAAGCCTCGGACAATATCAGGAAGGCTATTCCAGAGCTTAGGAGCCATATATGAAAACGTTCTCCCTCCTTTAAAGGACTTTGCTATTCTGGGTACTACCAGAAGCCCTGAGGTTTGAGATCTTAAAAAGTTGGTTGGATTGTAGCTAGACAGAAGGTTGGTTAGATAAACAGGAGCTAGACTATTTTAAGCTTTATAGGTAAGAAGCAAACATTTATAAACATTACAGCACTTAACATGCAGCCAGTGTAAGGAAGATGAAATTGGGGTGACATGATCATATTTACTTGACTTGGTAAGAACTCTAGCTGTTGCATTTTTGCACTAACAGAAGTTTATTATAGAGGATGCCAGTCAACCAGCAAACAGAGCATTACAGCAGTTAAAATCAAGTGGCCATAAAAGCATGAACTAGCTTTCCTGCATCTGAGATAGATAGCTTGCTTCTCAGCGTAGCAACATTTGTCAGATGAAAGAAGGCTATTTTTGTGACATGGGAGAGATGGTTTTTAAAAGTTAAGTTGCTGCTAAAATACTATATAAACCTCTAATTACAGGTCATGTTGAGAGATCTGTTGTATACAGGATTTCGGCTTATAAGTAATACATCTGTTTTGTCTGAATTTAATGGAAGGAAATTGTTGGTCATCCAGTCTTTTACATCTTTAATGCATGCATTCAGCTTAGACAGTTCAGATGTCTCATCAGGTTTTGTTAAAATATATTATTGATTATCATCTGCAAAGCACTTAAAGCTAATCCAGTGCCTTCTAATGAAGTCTCCCAGGCACAGCATGGATAATGTAAATATTAAAGGGCCTTAAACTGATTCTTTAGGCACCCAATTCTTTTCTGGCCTCACTTGTAAAAGCTGTCCATTTATATTTACAAACTGGTACCTGTCAGTTAATTATGACTTAAACCCTCTTAGAGAGTCGAGTAGCAGAGCTGGTGCAGATATATCCGCACATGTATGATCGCTCACGGAGAGATTTTAAATACTTATAGGGGGTCACATACTGAATGAGAAGTCCATAATTGTTATGCCACATAAATTCTATGAAAGTACACACACCAGTGGTACCATTTGGTGTTTGTCCGTGGCAAATGGAAAACAAAGATGTAGTAGTGCTTCTTGTAGAAAGAGTGTTTGCCAGTATATGAAACTCTTTAAATGATGAATGAAAAAGGTCCTCATTTAAATATACAGCGCCCTGGAGCATATGTATAATCACTGAATGCTAATTAGGGATCCTAACAGTGTGGGCTGCTTACCCTAAAGCTGTTTTACCCACAGCAGTGCTCTTTTAGTATTATTTTATGTATTCATGAATAAAATTAAATATTTTTGGTTTCCAATTTAATCAAGTGAATTTAGTTTTTTATGCATTGTTAGATTTAATTTACATTTATTTCAGTTTTATTAGTGGAAGAAAGGGTAGAAATAATTTAATTGCATTGTTTTATCTTTTTTTTATAGACACATGACACCTAACCTAACCGAAATGTCAGAAATACAACAAGATGAAATACAGCTCAAAGGAAGAAAAGGACTGAGGATGAATCTGTGGAAAGAAGACCAAATGAAAGGTGCGCTAGAGGAGTATAAACTGCAGGTTGAATCAGGCAAGAAACCTGTGGTACGTTTGCTTGCAAGGAAGTGGAACTTGCCGAAAACAACTCTTCAAAGACGTTTGAAAGGACTAGTTGAGGGATCTGAACATGCACCTGGAAGAAAACCATTCATTCCTGTTGAATCTGAACGCGAGTTAGCAAACCTTCTCACCTCGCTTGTAGAGAGAGGCTTCCTGTTGAGGAAGACTGATGTTCAGTCTCTTGCTTTTGAGTTTGCCAAAATAAATGGCATACAAGGATTTTCAGAAGACAAACAAAAGGCTGGCTATTACTGGTTTGAGGGCTTTATGAAGCGAAACCCTGGGCTGCAAATAAAGAAACCAGAAGCCATATCACCAGCTACAACAATGAATGAAAAGGAACTGAGTAGCTGGTTCAGAATGTACAAAGTCACTCTTGATGCATTGGGAATTAAGGACATACCTTCACATATTTGGAAGTGTGATTTATCAGAACTACAAGACATTTTTTTGTCTGAGCAATATGTCAATGAAGGAGAAGACCCTTGCTTTCAGATCAACACTGAAGGGGAAACTGAAGAGATTTCTGCTTTATTAGCAGCATTCAATGCCTGTGGAACATTTGCTCCACTTATCATTTTTAAAGGAAGCATGGTGAGAAATGAGTGGTTGAGCGCGTCTCTTGAAAACATGTGCATGAGAGCATCAGAAAGCGGCTGGATAACTGCAGACATGTTTAATGAGTGGGGTGAAATGTTTGTGGCACAGCTCCCGAAAGACGACACCAGACCCCACCTTCTGCTTCTCGATGACCAGAGCCGCCATGTCTTTAATCTCAGCTTCCTCAGTCTCATGAACCAGAACAATGTGGAAGTCATATGCTATCCTGCATTGCAACAATCAAGCCAAGCTCTGTTTCAAAGTCTTAAACACAACTGGTGTGAAGCGATCACCAATCAGTGGCATCCTCAACATGAAGACATGAAGTTGCCCAAAGGTCATTATTGTTCTGTTTTTATGGAAACATGGAAGAAAACTGCCACTGTGGAAAGAGCTCAGAGTGGGTTCAGGACAATGGGGATGTTCCCAATAAATGAGTTTGCCTCCATTGAGTATGAACTTTCTCTCTCCAGCCTGCAAGGTTTTACAGCACCTGCTGAAGATGAAGCACATTGCAGCACTGGCTTGAATCAACCTGCAGCTGCTGAAGTGGCTTCATTCAAAGACTTTGTTGTTGTACAAAATAGTAGGTGGGTAAAGACACCCAAAGGCAACACTGTGCCATATTTGCAAGAAAACTTACAGGACCTTTTTTACAATGAGCATTTAAAACAAATACGAAAGACCACCTCCTACAATTGCGGTGGCTGTCTAATAAAACATGGCACAGATAATGATCCGAAAGCTTCTGAAGCGTGGATCAGATGCACCAACTGTAAGGCCTGCTATCACGAGTCTTGTGCAGAAGAGGATGGAATATATGAATGGGTTTCTGTTGTTGATCACTAAAGCAAAGACGAAAAAATAATAGAAAACAAGTGTTTAAATGTATATTCACTGACAAAAATTGATTTTTGATCATATATTTGGTCAAAGCAGGCTTTTGGAAAATCTGAAAAAAATTTGATTTAAGCTTTTTATATAGTATACACAGTTCAGTGAATGGAGTGTCACCCACAGCAACTTTTTTATTTGTTTTTAATTAATTATGATGTTTTTAATTGTTTTAAATTAATTATGCCATCTCTTCAAAGTTTTATTAATCCATGGACTGAGATACTGTTTTGTGTACTTATTTAAAAACTGTTCATTGAAAATGGTAAATGAATGTTCAATGCTGGTCTGTTTTTCTGCATGTACATGCAGAATAAATTGGTGCAATATTGCATGCACCTCTTTATGGTCACCTAATGGTGCAGATCTTTCACAAGCAATGATCCTTGTTCTCAACTATTATTCTCACATGAAGACTGAAAGCCCTTTTGACTCAGACTATTTTTTCTTCACACAAAATTCACAATGACATCACATATCAGAGTTGGACTTTTTTAACAACATGGTTAAAATTAGGTTTTGATTTTAGCTAATGAACGTGTAGCAAGTAAAAAAAAGTTACACCATGTCATTACACATCAATCATTCTTTCTCGATCTTCAGTCGATTTGTAAATAATGAGGACTTTATAGTGAAGTTGCGTTTGTCGTTGTTCTCATGGTTAGTAGTGGGACTTTTATTTTGACTTACATCGGAAGTGGATATGTTTCACGTTCGCGGTTGTTTCCGCTTTCACGCTGTGCGCATTTGCCCCACTGTTTGATCGTGTTTCGCTTCGTGAGACGTAAAGGATTTTTAACTCGAGGGTTGGAAGTAAGAAAAAAATGTAAGTAACAACACATTGCGTTCGAATAACAGATACAATATTAAGTCGTTTATGTTTTAATGAAGGTCTATTTAAACCTGAGCTACAGAAATCACGTTAACAACGGTTCCAAGGTTGCGGCGTAATTTAGGCCTCATCGTGCACGATTACTCTCGTGCTTTCAATTCATCCTCACGTTTCGTCCATAGATGTTTTAATCGATTTTAGTTTATTTTTGGTAAATATTTGTCCACATCAAATGTTACTACATTATGCAGTTAGCGTTGATTGCTTTGACTCGCGTTCACGCGCAGCGGACATTTTCTTTCAATATTGAAAGCGTTGTGCTGATTTGCTGTGAGCCATTAACTTCAGTAACGTTACTCAGTGGGTTTCTGTTTATTCTCTTTTCTTCGTCTGCACTGAAACCGATAGTGCCAGTTTCATATCTTCTCTTTTTATGGTGCCTCAAATTCATATTTGTCCACAAGGTTTAATACCCCATTTAATTTGGCAGCTCTTACTTGCCCTGTAACGAAATTTTCGCTTTACTAATGCAAAATTTCCAACTAAATCAATCTTCATACATCATCATGGAATTCTGCAAATTATGCTAAAAAAATCTTCAAATCGTAATCATCTGAAGCTGCTTAAATTCTTTGCATCATGGTGTTCTTTATACCTCTCCACCATCCTTTTTGCTCTTGCTAATGGTTTGCATTTCATTGCAGTTCAAATAAGGATGCATGTAAGCAGACCCACTTGTACAATGGACTTCCACTTATTCCTGTTTCTAATGCAAGAACGCTAATGCTTTCCACTTTTTTAAGTGGCCTTTATTCAGGAAGTTTAACCAACCTTCCAAACCAACCAGCTATGAGGAGAATGACAACGTTGCACACTTCATTCGAAGCAAAAGTGTTTGAAAACCAGTAAAAATGCCCAAAATTCTTTAGAGAATTAAACTACGATCCCATTGAGCATTGCAACGAGGAGGCAATTTAAAATAATAGATTAAATGTTTTTAGTATTGCTATTATGTTGCTTGTAAATAAACATTTCATTTTTCGTTTTTATATTTTGGGAGAACTTTGCCACATTTTGACTACACATAAACAAAACAAAGCTGTTCAACACTACCTTTACACAGCACAATTCAATGATTTACAGTGGTTCACTAAAGACCTAACTGCAGCAGAAATTTCTCAATGAAATATAAAGATGACAATTTTCTCATTAAATTTATTACACATTTTGCTTCTTACTCATTTAATATTAAAAGAGGTCATTTGTTTTGAAGAATTGTGGGTGACGTTTAAAAACCCCTAATTCAGGCAGTAGGTCACAGTGTGTCTTTATTGCTTTATGCATTATCAAACAATTCAACCGTCAATTTTTGGTGAGAACATATCGGCTTTTTGTTTACTGAGCCTAAAAGTTGCCCTCTATAGAGGTAAGGTGTAGGTTGTTTTCAATCAGGATCACAAAATTCAGAAAGAGGGCAGGAAGTAAAAAAAAAAAAAAAACTGAATGGGAGACATAGAGGAAAGTCTGCATTTTTGCGATTTATTTATACCAGATTTTAAAGGATGTATAAAGAGACCACGCATGTTGGGCATGATCCTAATATGAAGAAGGCCGTGTTTTCCACTGAACTTAAATATCATCGAGGTGGTGGATACTGTAGTAATGTACTGTTACTATATACTATAGATGATTACTTGAATTAAACTGTTGTAGTAATTATGTTGTTTCTGTGGTACGACACTACTATAGTAATAAACAAATTATTCAATAGGCTTTAGTTTCTATAATTATGCACCATCACAATACAGCACAGTTTACACTGTTACAAAATTACAGTTAATCAGTTTAGTTATGCAGTATTCTGTAGCACTCATTAACAAAGAGTTGTAAACATTATACACTTTACTATATGGTTCAAAAACAGGTTTATTATAAATTACTATAGTTTTTTGTCTATATTTGCAGGCATCTTCCAGACATCACAAAATAACAGATGAAAGCATACCAAATCGTGGATGCATAGTCTACATAATTATTTAATAATTTTTTTAGGGGGGGAAAGTGCTCCACAATAATAACCATGTAGTTTTGTCGCAACTCGCAAAGGTTGCATTTTTTTCTTTTTTCGGTCGATTAACTTAACATCAACAAACATTCACTGCTGCTGCACATCTCAATGTTCAGGTTCTGACGAAACGCCAGTAAAGACTTGCATTATTGCAAAACAAGACTGATATTTCATTACAGTGATGATAACATGGCAGGGTACATTATTTATATTCTCCTGGATATAAAAGTGTGGTGGTGTTTGTATCTGATTTTTAATCAAAACATTAACATATTTAAACACATAGCTAGGCCTGTATAATATTTATTGGTGCTGTGAAATGAATTATAAAAAAAGTTATACGAAAAGATTTATACACTGATGTATTTGAATGTTTATGAATTATGAATGTTCGTTACTTTTCGTCTTTTCTACCTTTTTTCAGCCAAATTCTTGAAGTTTCCCTCCTTTATTAGCAAAAACATTTGGGAGTTTTTAAAAGCTGTTGATTTCATTCATTTCTTATTTTGATTTAAACAACTATAAACAAAATAAAACAGAAACATTTTGATGTTCTGATAGTGATTCCTATGAACAAGAATCACATCCTGTCCTCCATCTGAATTTCACTTGTCATCAATGACCCCATGTGAAAACAACCTATACAGTAGTCAACATCTGAAGTTGATTCAAATCGTTAATCAAAATTGTTCTCACAGCCATTGAGCAACACGCATTCTTGTCTTTGAACAATTTTGAAAAATATTTTTGATCCACTTCAAACGTTGACTACTATAGATCAAGGCTAATATTACTCCAGTTATCTATTTGCTCCAACAAGAAGAAGAACAAAAATCATATAAAAATACTTTAAGAAATTCATAAAAGTTTGTCAGTCTTCGATGGCTTCTACCAGTGATGCATGACTGGAACTTTCTTCAGTCACATAGGCCTGCACCTAGTTCATTTAGCTGGTCCTGTCAAAGTGAAGCTTATTCTTTCGTTCATTTACAAAAAAACCTCTTCCCTGCATGGTAAGTTTGATAATCAGCTGATTTTTCTCTGGTTTCTTTCTGAAAAGTGTCTTAAAACGTGGACACTTTCACCATGTCAATTCAACTTTCTGAAAACAACACCATTGAGAAACAGAGCTGACCCACCTTTGTGTCATTTGTTTTATGTTCAATAAAACTTTAAAGATAATGAGCTTTTCAGATTTGAACCCATGATGTCCCTGTTTTTTTTTTCTTATTTTCAATTGTATCGATTTACTTTTCTATGACCTTCAATTTCAAGTGGTAAGAATACACTTTTCTTTGGATGAAGAGACAAAACTTGTTCTGATAACTTTGTGCTCTCTTTGCACTCTTTATTTTACTTGAGCCAAAAGATTGATGGCTTGTATATTGTCAAGACCCTTTGATATCAAATTCTGTTTGTGGTTAAGTACTAAATTGATTGGCCTTGTTTCTCCAAAATTAGTTCATGGATTTCTGATTTGTAGTTTTAGGTCAACTCAGAGGCATGAACACAATCTCTCCTTTTTCTCTTCTGATCAACTTTCCCTTTCTTTCCCATCCACATTTAAGGACCTAAATTATGACTCCAATATTTTCTTCCTTCAAAGCCCTGTTGTAAGTTCCAGTTAAATATTAAATATGCTCCTTGTGGTACTTGTAAATCACGTTTTGCTCTATATGGCCAGTGTTCCAAGCTGTCCATTTGTACCTTTGTCATTGTAAGTAAGGCTTTTTTTTTCTTTTACCTTTGTTATGTACATTGTATGGATTTGTGGAGCTCATTGTCTTGCTTTCCTATGCCACTGCTAATCATTTCGTGAGCATGCTAGAAATCATTGCTCCATTGTGTTTCTGCAGACGTGTTTCATTCTGGAGGAGCTCTTTTCTCGATCCAGGCTTAAATCCACGGATTGTCCTTTTGGGGACTTTTTGATTCGCTTTATTCCTCTCTTTTTCCACTCATCTGGAGCACCGTCATTTCAAGGCCATGTCTCAGAAATTGACCAGCGATGATCTTCAAAAAGGCTTTGCTGTTGGCCGCGGGCTTTTGGCTGCTGCTGAGACTTTGAACTTTAGCATGGGTGAGACGCACTCTGACCACTTTGGCTCGTCTTCACAGTCACGTGGTGGCATGTCTGGCTTGGGTGGAGTGGATGGCAAAGACCATGAATCTCAGCTTTCCCGCCGAGCAGGCAGCCACATTAGCAATACTATGAAACTGTTTGCCAGCCTAGGTCTGTCACCAAGTGATCTGGATGCACTGGCACAGGTTCCAGAGGAGAACATCAGTGTGGAGACTTTGCCCCATCTTATTATGCAACTTAAAAATCGCAAGATGGAAGCTGGCCGCCGAATGTCTGGTGATATCTCTACCCATTCTTCCGAGACTTCATACAGAGGTGGCCGAGATACCTGGGGTGAAGGGCAGGGTGGACGATTGGACCGTTCCAGTGGCCAGTCACAAAGTCGTTCCCAAGGCAACTTCAGTTATTCTTCCATGCAAGACACTTCCAGTCGTGGATACGACATATTAGATTACGGCAGCGGTAGTGGAAAAGACCGCCAATATTCTGAGCTTTCCCATGACTCCTACCGCAGCCTTGGTATGTCTTCATCATCAACATCTGACGATATGTTCATGCAAAGAAGAATGGGCGCCCCGTCTCAGGGAAAAGTGCAGGATTTCTTGGGAGTCAGGCCGCTCATGTTTCCTCATATGTGCACCCTTTGTGATTTTGATGTGCACTCTGTCATGGTAAGTCGCTTGACTCCTGCACACACATTTTCCACTTCTTGAATCCTGCTTGTTGAAGGCCCTCTTTAAACATCATTTGTTGCATTTAAATCTTCACCTCTAAGTTTAACTTAGCATCAAATTTGTGTAAGATAAATAACCTTACATCTCATTGGACATCTATAGTATATATATATATTTTTTATTTATCTTTATGCTTGGCTCCAGTTAAGACAGTGAATATCAAGAATTCATTTCAGATCCATTTCAGTGCTCATTTATTGCACACACACACACATGCAGAAAGACGAGCTTCTCAAGTTATTTCTGAGCCAGTATGTCAAGGCTTTGAATCGCTTTAGTTCTCACACTTATTTTGTTGTTTTTAATATGTCAAGTTTTTTTTTTTTTTTTTTTTCTAATTCTTTGCTGTTTGTGTGAAGGAATGGACTCAGCACACAGCTGGGATTCGCCACTCTGAAAACCGGCGACTGCTCCTGCAAATGTAAGTGGAATGTTTTTGGAAAATTGTGAAAACTGCTCGACAATAAGAACTTCCCAGGGCCAGTGTGAGAAGCACTCTGGGAAGTAGAGAGAATATTCAGTGGTCAGAACGTTAAGGAAGGAGTTTAGAATTTGCCTTTGAAGAATTTTCAAAAATGCATGCAAATGTAATCTTAAAATGAAACAGCATGGCTAGCAACATTTTTTTAAACAAGATAAAGCAAGCAGGTAAAAAATATAAAGCACAAGTAAAGTTTTGCTGCATGTTTGTTTTAAAAAGAGTTTCTTTTGATTATTTAGTCTTTTTTGATTAGTGGCAGCAGTAGCCATGTTCACTTTAACAAATATGTTCACATTGAACAAACTATTAATCTTGCTTGAAAAACTGTTAGTCTTGCTTGAAAGGGGAACTTTATAAAATTTCTTCTGTAAATGCTTACAACGTTTAGCTTTTTAAAAGGCCTTTATTTTTGTCTTTTAAAGGTGCACCTGACAAGCAAACATGAATTTGAATAATATAATTTGATGTAACTTCATGGATGAGAACCTGAAATCTTAGGGTTTTAAAAAAGTTGCCATGTAGAATCTTCACACAATTACATGTTTTGCTTTTGCAGTCCTTGAAACTGAATGTCATGTTTTCTGTTATTTTTAGGTACCCCGACTGGGATCCTCAAATGCCTTCTAGCCGCATGTATGTTATCAGTTGTTTTTGTAAATACTGTATGAACCCACAAGGTGCATATATGATTAGAAAAGAGTTTTAAAAATGATTTCTTCTTAGGTCATCATCACTTTCCTTGGACACAAAGAGTCGTTCAGATGGATTGCTGGGCGCTGCTCCTATCGGTAGTCTACAGAGAACAGGGATGAGCTCCAGCTGGGGTAAAAAAAAATTCTTAAAGAATGTAGTTGGTGTTTTACTGGAAATCCTTTTGGTATTTTACTACAGATTTGTCTATATTTTAATCAACAGTTCACTTTCTTAATACTCCTAAACTCTTTCAGAGTATTCAGCAATTTATTTTCTGTGGTTTTCATTAGTTACTTAGTGAGCTAAAACTTTGGTTAAATGTGCACAAGTAACATTAATCACAATTATAACTAAACCTTTTAAATCTATATATTTTTTTATTTATTAGAGGCTGAACTCATTTTTTCAGTTGAATTATGTTATTAAAGGTGTCAGTTGCTAGTGATATTGCTAGAGCGGAAATTTATACACATGCTTTAACATAACATAAAAAAAGCAGAGGATAACAGCCAATAACATTGCTTTTTTTAATGTTGTGTAAACGGGATCATCTCATTTTATTAATTTATTTCTATGTTTTACAGCTAAAATTAAATGACAATTTTTAAATTGCTCTATTTAGGGCCTGATGCCAGTATGGGAATGACAAGAAAACAAACTTCATATTCTTCAGCACCCAAGGTAATAATGTTTTGATGTTAAATTGGTCCAAGGGTTCAAATGAAATTATACTGAAAGTCCAATTCTGGTATACTTTTTTAATGTAAAACATGGACTTTATTTTCATTATGTGGGCTTTTGAGTAGATTGGTGCTGGTATACTCATGCATATTTTTATTTTAGATAAGAAGTAGGGTGGTTGTTGCAAAATATGAAAGGAAACCGTTGTCAACAAACAGCCTGCTTGCCTTGGCAAAACCATTTGGCACCATCTGTGAGCATCTCATCCTGAATAACAAGGTAATGGCTGTATATGTTTTAGGCATCATTCAAGACCAGAGTCTATGTCATTATCCTCAATCTGAAATATAATGACCATTTCTAGTTTATATTGAAAATATTTTAATAGTGCTGGACAATATATCGTTTCAGCATTGGTCACAATGTGATAATTCGCAATAGACACAGCGCAGGATATATGTCATAGTTGAGTTTGTTGGATTTATTTTTGATGCCTGGATTTGTATAAAGATTTTAAAAGCATTCAGACATGAGATTGTACCATTTGTGACTTAAACAACTATTCATTTTGTTGAATTATTTCTATTTTATCATTCAGTTACTGTACTTGAATTCTGTTACCCTCGGTAAATGATTAAGCACTTTATTTTTGTTGTATCTTGTTCTTGATAGTATTTATAGATTATGCATGCAAATACTCAATACAACAGACCACAACGAAAATGTGTCTGGGTAATTTATAGATTGCTTATTAGATTTTATGGAGGTGCTCTCCCATTGCAGAATCATCCCAATTGATCTAACATTATTCATTCTTTCCAAATAGAGATATAAAGTCATTGTTAAAATTGCATTCATATTGCAGTATATACATCGCAAAATATAGAAAAAATTTGCAACGCTAGATTTTTCTAATATCGTGCAGCCCTAAATTTTACCATAAAATCTGTTGTTTGTTTTCATCTTGAAAGGCTTTCTTGGAGCTCACGACTCACGAGGAGGCTTTGGCCATGGCTAATTATTATCAGCGTAAACCAGCCATTTTGCATGGGAAAGAAATAAAAATTTATTTGTCAAAGGAGCTGATGGCAATTAGGGTATGTTATATTAACTTATTTTTTTTTCTCATGAAAAAAATCAACCAATCAGCACAATTAAGCTTGTTTGCATTGTCAATACAGAAAAGTGGACGGCCAGCCACAGACACCAGACCCACAAAGAGAATTGTCAGCCAGGTTGTGTTTTTCTCCAATTTACCACGAGGCAATGAAAAGAAACCGGAGCTCCTGACAATAGCTCGTCGATTTGGTACTGTTGAGAAACAGCTCTTTCTAAATGATAAGGTAAGGTACATATTTTGTGTTTTGTGGAACATGAAATATTTTTATTTATTCTTTAATTTTCTAATCTTTAGATTTTTTGTTTGTTCAGGCATTTATTCAAATGGCCAATCCTGATGATGCAGAAATGTTGGTGAAATACTACACTGTTAATCCTTTGACTATCAGTAAAAGATTAATCCGAATGAACCTCTGCACAAAGTATAAGACTCTAACGTAAGTGTTACTTTAACTACAAAACCACTAATACCTTTAGAGAGAACATAAATCTCATGATGCCACGTGTGCTTTAGGATCCCACCAGGCCATGAAGATGATGGAGAAGAATTGAACCGTAAGAGCACCAGCAGAACTGCTGACAAACCTGCAGACAAATCCTCATTGAAGGGCCGGAAGGTCTCAAGCTCCAAAGCCAAAGAGAGCTCTGATGAGAAGGAAGAGGAACCAAAGCCTGAGGAAGCAGAAGCCAAGGGCAACGGAGATGAAGAAGCTGATGTCATGGAAGCACGTGATGGAGATGAAGAGGGTTTTGATGAAGACGTCACTATAGAAGATATCGATTCCTTTGAAACTGAACAAACCGGTGAACAAGTACCAGATACTGATGATGCCAATGTGGAGGAAGAGGAGGACCCTGAAGCGCAGCAAACCACAGATGCCTCTTATGATGAAGAGACCAGAGAGAAACAACAACAAGAAGAAGATGATGATGATGATGGTAATGAAAAAGACACACAGAGTAAGCTGGAGGAGTCAGCAGCATCTGAGACCAATCAGGAGGAGAACGCAGAACAGCTTTCTAAAGACCCTGAGGAACAGAATGAGGAGCAACCTGAAGATGAAGGTGCTGAAGAGGAGGACTGTGCAGATCAGGTGGGAGAAGGGCTGGTCAATATGGCACTAATACAATCTTGATACTTATTTTCCATATTGAACGATAACAATATAGATTTCGATATAAGTTGTTAATGCTTCTAGATTTAAAAGAGCATCCCAACAATAACTGAAGCCAAAAAAATTAGAGGGTCCATTAAATGGCATAACATATTCAGCTGTTTAACTGTCGGTGGATGAAAATTGAGTGCATCTCACAGCACATTTCTGCTGTGTGATTGGCTCTTAGATCAATATAGAGTAAAATATTCCAGAGCTTATTGTTATTGACATAAATTTTATCTCGATTCGCTATAATATCGTTTATCGGCCCATCTCTAGGTGGGAGATTAATTTGAAATGCCATCTTAGCCCCCTTTTACACCTAGGATTACACCATGTTTTTTCAGTCTGAACACAAGTGGATGAGGCTAAATATAGTTTTGAAATGAAATAAAAGGGAAAGGTTTTTATTTAAATCTGCATGTTTTGTTCTGAACAAAAACTCATTTTGGGTTAATGCTTGTTTAAGTCGATGAAATATTCACATTTATCGCTAGGTGAAAACTGGACCTTAAAGACATATTTCTAAAAACTATATTTCTCTCTTAAATAGTTCATCCTTGTAAAAAGTGAAAATACATGCATACATGCAAGTCCTATCTTATAAATGTATGTTAACATTAGTGTTTTAATGTTTATGCACCAATTTTTTTTAACTATCACAATCTGCTTTTTAATGAATGGTGTCTTTGTTTTCTTCTAGGAAGGTCAAATTGAAATTGACTTTCCAGAGAACTTGGATGAGTTTGTTACTCTTGATGAGCTTGCAGAGGATGAGGAGTCTGAGAGACAAGAATCCAATGCCAAAGAAACAAGCACTACAGGTACTGCACTTGAGGAATATCAGTGGCTTTAACAATTATCCATAACTGAGCGTTCACACCGAAGGCAGTAAGAACGTCAAAGTTTACTCTGGCAACAACGCTGTCGAAAGCATTAAAGTTCGTTACATTTGATTTCGTATTTGAAGGAGCCATTGCAGCATTGTCAGCAAATCACTTACATTCCCGCATAAATTCGTGCTTTCTAGTGTAAAAATGTTTAACAATTGTTATCAAATTCATTTAACAATGGAAGAACAAGTTGCGTGTGGTGTGGCTTTGCTCCTTTTATCTAATATCTGTCCAAATGTTTGAATTATGCTGAAGCAGCAAAACTGTTTTGTATTGTTAAAGAAAAATTTAAATTAAGTTAATGCTCATCGCTGTAAGGCTTGAAGCTTACGCTGCTATTCTGAACCAATAATCGGAAACAGAAATCAGTTGAAGGATGGCGTGTTTAAATCCATTATTTATCTGACTCCATTGTAATTAATCTGACTCCATCAAAGTTGTTATCATCATTGATAAAGAGAATCTCAACGCATTAAAGCAGGCAAAGTTGTTTAAGTTACATGTTTAAATATGCAGACAGTATAATGAAACAAACTAACATATTGTATAAAGAAATTAGCTGTAAAATATGCACTGCTGAGCAACAAAGACAGTGAAACTACCTTTGTCAGCATATGAGGCTACGCACCGTAGTAAAAGCCATTCTCCCAGAGTTTCCTTTCCTTATTATACCCTGAGCAATGCATTGTCAAACATAAGTAAAAACCACCCCCCAAAACCAGCTGAACATGAGAGCAAAGTTGAGGAGATAAAGTAGAGGAGAAGTACATTAACATACTCTCCTCAGGTCATGACTCAACTATAGTAAACATATTGTATATTGAAATACAATCAATCAATGTCTCTGTTGATTTCATCACTACAACACTGAAGTCATAAACTGTCAAATGACACCAAACATGACAGTTATATGAAGGAAGGTAATGAGCAGATTAATTGTGTATGGTGAAAAGCACATGGTTACTGTAAGCAAATGGCAGAGATGTGTATTGGAGCTGTGAGGAACTCTGCCACACCAGGAAAAACCATCCCATGCTTGGAATGTCTCAGTAGTCCTTCATTAGCATAGAAAAAATAGTATATAATATTTCCTCAGCTAACATCGCTAACTAGCTTGTAACTTTTTTTTCAACATATGTTTTTTTTTTCATTGCACATAACTGGAAATCCGGCAACCGCAGTTATCAAACCCTTGGTAAGAACTGTGGTCAGAACCATAGTTCAAAGGACTGTGTTGTCTGGACTCCTCAAACGGGGGACATCTACATTCCAATTTCTTGTCGCTGAAGTGCATTGTAGCTCATTACCATAAAGTTGACTTGATTTCAACTATCCTTTGAAATATCCACACTGGCGAATACGCTCCGCGCTGCTCTTCGCTGCTGGCTACAATTGAAAATAAATGGCTTACGGCTACTGACGCTCTCACCGCTTTTGGTGTAAACGCACAGACAAGGGTGTCTTTATTTGGCTGCTTTACAAAGTTAAATAAGGTAAAGTTTTATTAATAACTTCAAAATAGATTTTTTTTTTATTTTACTACTAAAAAAAAGAAAATGAAACCTCAATTTATATTTGATGTTTACCTTACCAAATGTCATGCTTCCAGTGAAGAGTTGAGGTCAAAATTACATATTTTTAAAACAAATACTTTAATCGAGCGAGGACACAATATTTTTTTAAAATTGCATTAAAGTGCAATGTGCAAGAGAAAACATTACATTTATTGAACAACAAGCCTGCTCATTTTTAAAGGGTTATGTGCTGTTGTAGCTTGGAGTAATGACCATAACAGGGGTGTTTGGTTTTATATATAGTGGAATTTTATTTATTTATTATTATGTTTTAATTAAGTAATTTCATTTTAATAATGCCTTTTTATCTTGTGTTTTTCAGGAACCCCCAGGCAAAGCGGAGTAAGTTACGTTTTATATAATATTAATTTGCTAATAGTGGATGCACATTAATTCATTGTTAAATGTTAATTGGTGGTTTCTGTTTGTAGGGATTAAGAGTTGTGAATGTTGTTGGGTTTAAACGTGGCTACGGTTATCTTGAGGAAATCCTTTCTCTTGCAAAGCCATTCGGTACAGTGGTGCGGCACCTAGTCTTGGATGTGAGGCCTGAGGTAAGCGCAGTAAGATTTTATGTGTCTTGGTAGTTCAAGATTTGTCTCTTAACAGCTTTATTATCGCTATCTACTCATACATTTCATGCTAGATTTACAAATGTATTTGCAAATACTAATATATGACTAATTATGTTAAATCTATTGTCAAGCTGCATCTATATGTCATTTGGTTAGCAGGGACTAGTTTTCATGTCAAGTTGTAAATGATATAATTAAGGAGTTAATTTTAGACAAGTGGCCTAAAGATTGTTTTGTTGTTTTGCTCTGTAATAGGCCTTTCTGGAGCTTGCCAATGAGCAAGAAGCAAAAGCAATGGTTAATTTCTACAGTGGAAATGTCTTGCCATCTGTGTGTGGGAAACCTGTGAGGGTTTATCATTCACACACCTATGCAACCATCCAGGTAAGACTCAGTTTTGAACTTCCAAATCCTGATTCAAGTAGCTTATAAAAAATGTGTCTCTAGTTAGTGGAAAACCAATTTGGTCAGATTTTATCCTGTGGATGTATTTAAGTAGCAACAAAAGTCACAGTTTGGATCACATTATGTTTTTTTTTTAGCCACGGATTGGACCATTTTTCGGATCAGCCAAAAAGGAGGAGACAAATGTAATTTGCTTTCCATTTATTACAAAAACATTACTGCAAGATACCTTCGGTTTTAACTAACAGAACTTAGAACCTGTAATTTAAAAATAAAATGAAGAACAGTGTTTTCTCTAGGATTTTTTCCAGCTGTGGCAGCAGGCCTTTTACACAAATTTACACAAAACTACCTATTGACTACTCAATGACAAATGGAAAAAAAGTTGTGACTGCAGTATTTACAAGTTGAGATCGCATTTATGTAATACAAGCATGCGAATTTCTTTGCTTGCACGCCAATTTCCTCTGCTCCTGCACAAATCTTCTTGCACGCCTCTTCAAATGTACGCTGCTGAAAGTGTGATTTTAGTGCGTTTGTGTAATGAGTATGTGCAACATTTATTAGATTTGCTAGGAATATTTTTGAATGTCTCATTACACCTAAAGAACGGCATTATTGCATCCTGATGTAAAGTGAAATGGCTATAAACTTCAGCAAGATAAAGTCATTAGATGCAGAACCATAGACCTTTATCTATAAATTAATTATAGAAACAGTGTTCATCTTAACTGAAAGCTATCTCGTGTTTGCTGGCCTCAAGCTTCATGCACCTGTCAGTCAGTCAGCATGTCACCTTAAAGGGTTAAACAAATAACGCACAGCACTACTACGATTACAGAAAAGTTTGCGCAGTTATAATTCACTTACCTTTTAATATTTTTTGGTGCGATTATAACCCACTATAACAAAACAAACTACAACAACAATGACGGAATGTTTTGAATGAAAAGCTGTAATGTAGCCGTGGTGGGATGAATTTTGGTGTGGCACCCCGCCATAGACAAATTAATGTAGTTGAAACCATGAAGAAATAATAAGGTGAATAAAAATAAATGGTAAAATATTCAGTACTGTGAGATATTCACTTACTACTAATGTTGCAGATGACGCTAAGTATATAAATCTAACATTATAATTTGTACAACACGTATTTATTTTTGTCTCATTTTCAATAAATGATTCAATTATTCACTTATAAAACTTTGCAAGATGTATAATTTTTAAAGAATTAATCAGTGGCGTATTTTGATGGGCGGATGTCACCATTGGTTAAATAATGAAACTGTTGCTTAATTTTAATCTTTAAAAATAAATATGAGAGGTTACATCTAAACTATAAACTGTTTTCCCAGTATGTCTGTGTTATTTGACTGTTTGTATTTTCCACTTTTTACATAATTTCTGTCAAACATCAAAGTAGTACTTTCAGTTTCCAGCCTTGATATTAAAATATGGATTTCATGTCTGCAAAACATTTTAGATAAAATCTTAATGATGATTCGATATCAAATTTAAATCAGATTGTATTGTAATACCTAGCCCTGGCCTATTGTATACAGTGTGCATTCAAGTCCTCTCTGTTTTTTGTGTATGTCTGTGGGAAAATTACAGCCCCACATACTGGTCTGGCATTTATACTAAATCTTATTAAGTTGGTTTTAATGCAGCGGTCACCAAACTTGTTCCTGGAGGGTTGGTGTCCAGCGGATTTTAGCTCCAACCCTAATCAAACACACCTGAATAAGCTAATCAAGATCTTACCAGGTATACTCGAAACACCCAGACAGGTGTGTTGAGGCAAGTCGGAGCAAAACCTTGCAGGGACACCGGCCCTCCAGGAGCAAGATTGGTAATGTGTGGAGCTCTGGATGTAGCCTGAGAAATCTAATGTATTTTGTTTTGTCTACAGAGCGGCAGAGTCATCTACATTGGAAATGTTCCAGCCTTCAAAGGCCCTGATTCACAACTTCTGAAACTCGCAGAGCCATATGGAAAAATTAGGAGATACTATCTGAACCGAATGCGAAATGAGGTAATATTCAAATAAAGGCTTCCAGATTCAGTGGGGCAAAATAAATCAGAAATTCATGAAATTTGTTTGTTTGGCCCAGTGTTTCATTGAGATGGAAAGAGGAGAGGATGCAGAGCAAATGGCAGAGGCCTACAAGCTAAACCGCCCTAAATTTGTAGGCAAACGACTTCTCATCTATGTGAGCAGGAAATACAAGCAGCTCAAACATGGGTCGGTTGAACTTTCAGTTGCTTGTTTTTTTGGGAAATGGGTTTCCAAATGATCTTACACTAGATCTATTTCAATGTTCTAAACTTTTGACAGGCACAGACCTCCTGCTTCAGACTCTGAGGAGAAACGGCCTCAAAAGAGAGAGCGCTCTGTAGAGAGTGATGCCCAGAGCAGCTCTTCTGGCAAGAGTAAAGAAAAGAAAGATGAAGAACCTTCTGTCAAGAGGATAAAAGAGGACGAACCTGTTACTGATGACACTCAGGAGGGAGAGAGCCAGGAAGATGAGGAAAGCCAAAATGTTCCAACTGAAACGGCTTCTAATGAAGAGAAAGAACTAGAGGAGGATCAAAGCAAAGATACATCAGAGATCCAGACTATGGAGACTGAACCTGTGAGTGAACTTTTTATTTGTTGGTTGTATGAATTTTGAATTATGAATGAAGTTACTGCATTAACTTAAAGAACACCTATGGTGAAAACTCTGGACAGAAGTCTGTTTGGACAGACATATGTGTATGTGTAGTGTATAGACCATCATATTGGGGTGATATAAACACACCCAGTCCTTTTTTCCCAATTTAACAACATGAAAACAGTGGACCAATCAGAGCGGTTTTGAGATCGACTGCAACTTGATCTAGGAGTGCGGTTCCACCAATATTAATTGGCAGGCGCACATTACCATATCTCCTCAGTTTGTTGTTTCACATTTGCCATTTTCAGCGTGTGAGTCAAAGCGATTTCACCAAAGGAACACCCTTGCTCTATTTTTTGGATGTAAGGCTCATTGGGCTCAACACTAGAACCTTTATCGTCTTGCTGCGAATGAACAACTGAGATTTTACATTTAGCGGCCATTTGCACGGATCACGCTGTGAATGCAATGTATAGAGATTCAAGCCATTAAAAACAGCTGATCTGCCGAGTCTTTCAGCACTCTCGGAAAACACTCAATTGAACACTCTGTTGGCAGATCATCATGCACCACATGATCACTCTCATCTGCCCCTTGTTTGTAACTTTAGGTGGGTTTGCAAACGTGTACTTTTCATTTTGTCTTCCTAAAACTTTTAACAGCTGTCTGCATTTCACAGAAGCTCCCTGTTATCTCAACTAGGTGCGGCTGTTTGTTCTGTGCAGAAACACAGTATTGAGAAGCCTTTATAATTAATTAACCATGATGAGTTAAAGCGCAGTTAAAAGTGTGACCAGTTAATCATTACATCCCTATACGGATGACGCATGCATCCTTACATAGCAGCTGTAAAACTTTACAAAGACTAGGGGTGTCAAAATTAATTGTTTCTTCGGTGCACCGCGATGCAGACACAGAGAATTCCGTATCAGTTCAGTAATAATAATAACCGGTTATTATGCACTAACATCATTTACCTCATAAGCGCTATGTCGCGAGGGAGGTGAGCGTGGGTATTTACAACACTCCAGGGGCCAACTACTTAAAAACATAGAAACTGCAGAATTTCACTGCATGTGTAAGTTTTCTGGACAGACTTACACTGACACTTCCAGCAGAAGCCCCTATTTCTCTTTGATTTGAGGGAATGAAAGTGAACTCCATTACTCTCTCTCTTACTGTGGCCCATTTCACCTGCTGGCGTGACTTTTCCTGCCCTCTTTTTCTTTTGGCAGTATGCATTCCCACGGCTGTACTTGTGCATTGTTGCAGGACCTCACCTGATTTTAAGTGGCGCGGGAATAAATTTCCAAATAAAGCACGGGAGCAGTTGGTAACTCTGGTGTAATTTTAATAGGAGTGGGTGGTCTCACAATATCGCTCCCAAGCAAGCGTGTGTGTGTGTGTGTGTGTGTGTGTGTGTGTGTGTGTGTGTGTGTGTGTGTGTGTGTGTGTGTGTGTGTGTGTGTGTGTGTGTGTGTGTGTGTGTGTGTGTGTGTGTGTGTGTGTGTACGTACATACAGACAGCTTGTTATAGCCACCCCCCAAAATACAACACTGTGTATGGAAAGCATCGTCAATGCATCAAGATATCGAATTGAACCAATCGATGGCATGATAATCGTACCCGAACCGTGAGACCAGTATAGGTGCACACCTCTAAAAAAATACACAAATGATTTTGTAACTACCACTGGCACATTAGGAATAGTGATTCTTCAACAGTAGTCTCTGCTTGGTCTGTGTCCGAGTCGTACATGTACAGATGAATGCTGGTCCTCTCACTCATGTGCTTCTCTCTGTCTGCCTATCTGTTGCCTTACACAAAGCGGGGGAGCTCTTGGCTCCGCCCCCTTGTTAAGTTGGGTGGGAAGTCGAAACAAATTTTCATGTGAAGCAACACACACCTAAAACAGCGAGCTGTGTACACAATGTTTTTAAAACATTATAATAAAAAAATCTGAATTGTGTTTTGAACTGAACTTACTCTGGCACAGTAAAAAAAACCATAATATTAATATTAAATTCTAAAAAATGGGTAAACTAGGTGCCCTTTAATCAAATGCAGTATTTTTGTAAAAAGAAAATATGCTGTTGTATATCATGCTGTTTAATATTCTGTAAGAGAAAAACTGTCTAGTTCTCATAATTTCTTCTAGCTCCCAAAACAAAATTGTATTAATATTTCTTAGAATTACTCAAACCAATTTAGAAAAAGAGGGAAATGGGCTTTGAAAAGTAAAACCCCTCTTTTACATCGATGTAAAATTTTTTTTATGTTTTCTTGTTTCGTTATTTTAACATTAATATGGTATTTAATAATAAAAAAATATACATACCATAATCATACCATATTAGAAACTAAATCTAAATGTTTTCTTTGATTATCTAGTATAGTTAGTAGGACTTACGGGAGAATACAGATAAAGGTGCAATATGAAATGAAATGTGATCAAAAAGTTACTATATAGCAGCGTTTAGATGGGTAAAAATGTACTTGCTTGTTTTTTGCCATTCACTAAATGACAAAAAGTGATCGAGTGAACTTTAGCTCCTGAATTGTAAATCATGGATGGGAGGAATGAGATTGGAGATACAAAATGACCAATTAGTTTTATATCTAGAAACTACAAGGTGTACATTGTGATTAAAGAACAGCATTTTTGCCTTTTTGTTATGTATTTGCAACTCAAGATCATCTGATATGAAATGTATGATTGCATCATGTCAGAAGAATCATAGACTGTAAAAGAGATGGATGTAGTATCCGTGACATCATCCATAGGTTTCTGAAGAGCACAAATGAAGCTACAAGTAGGCGTGGCCATTTTGTTTGTGTGTCATCGGATTGACTTGGGGTAACCAAACAAGAAAAGAGGCGGAGTGTCAGTGAAGCTACAGACACTTGCTAGCATTTTGCTTAGGCAGGCTTTTCCTTGGGAGAAACGCTTAATACTTAATTACCCACGACTCGTTTGTGTTCTGACCACATGTGCTTGGTTGTGAACCATATCAATAAAGTGTTTAGTCTTTTAAAAAACACTGTTGTTTCACATTGAACCACTAAACATTGTTCTTATGACGTTAATTTACAGGAGGAAAAGGCTAATTACTCCCAAACACTTCAAATATAGTGTTTGTTAGTAAACGCAAGGCTAGTGATGAATTCCAGGCATAACACTATGACTGATGACACAGATGACTGTTTTATAGCCTACGACTAATCTATCTGTCAGATTCTGGAGTGCTTTACAGTTCTACAGAAAAATATAAATGATAAATAATCTTAAATAAAGCAAATACATTTATAGATATGATATAAGTATGTAAGAATTGCACTTACCTGAGAAATGTAGGCAACTTGAATGGCTTGTGGGCATAATTAAGTGCATACAGCATGCCATGTTATCTAATAATTGTAAGAAATAATTTCAAAAACCAATTGACTGTGCAAATCCACATAAAACAACACAAAAATACGATGTATATGTCCAGTTCAGCTGCTAATCAGCTAAAATCATCAGAGGTGATGCGACTGCAACCAGCAAGACCTAGCTGTCACTTAAGTGGCCCACCCGTAATTATGCAGACTTAATTTGACTTGACTCAATAAAAACTGAACGGATGAGTCATAAGAACATTCACTCCCCTCACAGTTGTCATGAAGGGTAATATTAGCTATAATATTAGCCAAAACCATCTTTTGTACCAGGCTGTAAACGTTTTTATCAGCTGTAAAATTGGCCAGTTTTGCAGTCAGTGAACATCTGAAATTAAAGACGAGTCGATGAAGTTTCAGTTACTTCCGTATTGGCTTCACAAGGGAGAGCGGGATGTTGCTGCTTGGTCAGAAGGCACGATGGGCTGTTTTAAGAGTGATCTAAGCTCAGATCCAAACAGCTGAAACTGCTTTTTTGAACTGCTTTTTGCACCACCAGCAGAATCAAATTATTTGTAAATAGTTTTACCCATGTCTTTTCCCAGACACCTGAGGATGAAGATGAGGAAAAAAAGACTGATGCTGCTCCCCCTGCTGAATCAGAGAAAAGTGTGAAGTCAGAGGAAAAACACATTCCAATAGCACCATCCGAAATCAAGCTTGAACCTAGCACTGCTACTCTTGAGTCATATGACCCTAATGTCCCAGTGGGTAAGATGCCTTTGTTTTTTGATTTGATATAAGTCTAGAACTAGTCTGTTTCACAGTTTACTCAGAGAAAGTATAAAACATCTTCAAAGAAATGTGAGATTAAAAATCATTGGAAATTTGGAGAACTATTAAAAATAAAATGGGCTGTTTTTGTCCACAGTGAGATTGTTTTTGTTGTGTTATAAATGTGCAAGCTGGGGTTATCCTAAGAAAAAAACAAAGCACAGAAATATGGAGACATGCGGTAATATTGGCTTCTTCTGCTCTGGTTTCAGGTGTGGAGTTTGTGAAGATGGGATATTATTGCAGAGTCTGCTTCCTGTTTTACTCCAATGAGGACACTGCTAAGAAGATTCACTGCAGTAGCCAAGCACACTACGATAAACTTAAGGTGACTTCTTTTTTGTTTTTTTGTCATAACCATTTTTTATTCAGTGTTTTTCAAAACAAAAATTTAACTTTTTTTTTCTTTCTTCAACAGAAATATTTGGAAAAAGAAAAGGCCAAAGCACAGACTAACGGAGTGAAGAAATGAACTGTTGACTACGAGACATTGCTTCCCATGTTCATTATGCCATGCTTGTGTTTTCGTGCATTCAGTTGTTTTGTTTTTTTAGGTTTTTTTCTTAAAAAAAAGTTTAGACTGAGGGATTGCTCTTTTTAATGTAGCAATAAAAGCTGAGGCCTAAGCAGTTTCTATCTGTTCTGTTTAGCGATTTAGATGTGAGGACATTTTACACATTTAATTGCTACTATTACTGTGTTTTTGTTTTTCAGTTCTTTTATTAAACTTCCAGCATTCCTCTGAGTTTGTCTCATTGTTTTTAATCATTTTTTAGAGGTTTTGTATTGTATTTTGTGAAAGAACAACATGTGCATGCCACAAGTGTTAATTAATCAGTGCTACCTAAAAATGCTTTGGAGTAAATTTGCATGAATAATAGTTTTCTCAAGGCATTGTAAACTTTCAAGTCAATGTCAGTGGTCTGTATTATTAGACCAAATAAATATCTATAGGTCATTTCTAGGGCCCCGTCTCATTTTAAGGTTGTTTCTGATGAATTTGACTATTGCAATTTCTTATGGTGAATGAATGTCAGCTAGGCTTGATTGCTACACTATGTGAGCTATTTTTGGCATCTAAGTATGATTACTTTTTCTAATTGTTCACAAAGACAGAAGTTTGAGATGGTATAAAGAACACAGGAAAACAAATGGGTTCATTTAAACAAAGTGCATTTTCTTTTATAAGGAGTGAACCTGCCAGTCACTTCAGTTTAGTATGAACTGTGCTCCTCCAACATCTTTACATAATAAAGAAATTATTTAGAAATTACAAAGCACAATGATTATTTTGGTAATTTGGAGATTGGCAAACAGCTATTTTTGCTTTTTGATAAGCATTTTTTAATCAACAATTATCCTTGCTTGTTTTAATAAAAAATAATAGGTTCAGAAAGTCAGGTAAAGCATATTATTTGAGTAATGTTTTACAAATGTATAGCCCCGAGTTTTCAGTTAAGCAAAAAGATAAATGATAACGAAAGCAAAAGTATTAAAAACGTGATAAGACATTTATTTGGCTGGGTAGTTTTTAATCGCACTAACGGTAACCCTTAAAGAGACTTTTAAGATACGTTTGTGCGGATAAAAACAGCTTTGTCGACTATTTTTTGTCATGGTGAGAATTATCCTAGCTGTTCTACGTTGATAAGTATAAAGGAGTAACACAATTGTTTTATATGAGCTGGACTGAACTGACAACTATACATTTATTATATATATAAGGTTTAGCTTTACATTTTGTAAGTATTTATGTCAAGCTAAAATGATAATCGTACACCCAATGTTTTGTAGGGTGTATGTTTTATACTGGTCGCAGTAAAAAAAAAAAAACGGACGCTGATGAATGTGTATTATGCAACTGTACCGTGAACTTGATTTCTCATGTTATGTAAATCTGTCTGCCATGGGTAATACTTTGACTTTTATTTTGAAGGCTCTAACCCAGCTTCCGGTTGAAAAGCAGGACAAGGAGAACGGTCTTCGCCAGAACCGCTGCTTTACCGATCTTCGTTGATTAATTCTTTATTCTGTCTTGCGTTGGTGAGTTATGTTTAGCAATACCAAAATATTAAATTTAGTCATTACGTTATATCTGTATTTTAACAATGCGTCAGATCAAGTCGATAAATGATCGGGAAAATGGCAGCTAACGTTAGGTCCAAGGCCAAACACAATAGATTCCCCATTTCTGCACAACATCCTCTTTACATCCACCTTTTAATCAAATTTCACTCTTACTGAAATATGTTTTATGAAATGTTATTAGATTATAACCTTACATAAAATATCCAGTTTCATTTATTTGTTATGTTTTTGTATGCATGTTAAACGAAAGTAAAAGCGAAGCACGAAAGGTAAATATTTAATTAAAGCTTATTTTGTGTAAATTGTGGCTTTAAATAAAAAAAAGTAAATCTATCGAAAATTACTTAACCAGTTTATCAACGAACTAATTATATTGATTTTGCTGGCTGTGATGTTACGGACTTGATTCAGCTAGTTTTATATGACAAATCGTGAAACATCCACAAAGTGAATTATATGATTTTTCATCTCAAGGTAAGGCTGATACAGGTGATACACCTCAACGGATTCATCCGCAGATCTTCCACCTTAAGCTGATCACTTCAACATTTTACAATACATTTATGAAGATCAAATTCTCTTCAACATCTTTTTAACAGGTTAACAACAAAGACTGCTAATTTTGGCAGGACCTAAAAGGTCCAACACGACTGTGCACAATGTCTTATAATCCACCATACCGAAACCCTCAAGGGGACAAAGATGCACGAATCTATACCCGGGACTCGAGCGCTTACAGGTCAGGAATTAGGAGCACAACTCCGCACCGGACATCTTCATCCTCATCAGAACAGCCCGTATTCCCGCCGAATAAGGCATTGTCCTTTCTGCATAGCTGCGGACTGGATGCTGAAGATCTTCAAACTCTGGCCAAGCTTCCCGAGCATCTCATCACAACCGATACCCTTCCTGACCTTCTCACAGAAATCAAAAAGAAGAAATTGTCCCACACTTCTTCACCCAGGTCCAGTGTGCTCCCAGCCGCGTCGTCAGCTCGCTCCTGGGACGATAGGAGCCACGCTCAGTCGGTTGAGTATCCTTTAGATTTGCCTGCCCGTCAGTCGTATTCCCTTAATCGAGAGCAAGCCCAAACCTGGGATGACAACTGGGGAGATGTCCAGCAAACAAGCTCTCCAGCAGCATCAAGCTACGTTGTTGAGTATAACCATCTGAAAGAGAAAAAGTCATACTATGATGAACCGTCTTATCCCCCAGAACCATCAAGAGAAATGTCTTACTCTAACTATGGCAAAGAAGTTGGTCACTCGTCGCATTTTTCCAGCAGAGACGCCAGTCATTCCTCACATCTGTCCAGTAGGGACAGTCAATCCTCACGTCGGTCAAGCAGAGACCTCGGTCAGACCTCACAGCACTCCAGCAGATACATCAGTCAGTCCTCAGTACGGTCGAGTAGAGACGTCGCTCCATCCTCACACCTGTCTAGCAGAGATGTCGGAGTACATTCACACATCGCCCAACCTTCGCCCATGTCCAACAGAAACGTTGGTATACCCTCACTCCTCTCCATAAGAGACCTCGCTCCAGCCTCACATCTGTCCAGCAGAGCTGTCAGGCAGCCCTCTTGGAAGAAAGGCTCGGCTCCTAGAGTACCTACCAGGAAAGAGGCATCCGATTTCCACGGGAGGACTCCACCGGTGTTTCCCTACGCATGCGTACTCTGTGAAATCACGGTCCTCTCTGACAAGGTAAGTAGCTTTTCGCTCTCACAGATTCTACATTACCAGCTATTTACCAGACAGTTTCAGGCATAATACACATGAGCGCACTGTGGCTTATGAGGTAAGTCTATGTATCATGTTTATTAACAGTGGAATTTGTGCGGTAAAGGGAGAGTTCAACCCAAAATGAAAATCCATCATCATGATGTACCAACACAAAAAGTTACACGAAAGTAGCCCACTTAAGTTAAACATATCCTCATCCTTCTGCAATAACCCTCAAATCTCTTTCTGGTAAATTTGCTGCATCATGATTGGTCATGAAATACGCAAGAATCAACAGAGACACCAATGGCAGACTGGCTTTGATGCTTCATGACACAGCTTTTTTGAATATATACCTCAATAAATGAGATTTTAGAGTTATAGTTTAAGGGAAGATTATGGCAATTATTTTTTGATATGAAGTTTGTCTTTATTTGTCCAATTCCAAGAGAACACTCAAAATTCACATTTGGTTGAATATGCAGTTGAAAGTATTAAGATTTATTTATTTTTTTCTCCACTGGTGGAAAAACTGTTCATCTTAACCATATATATGACTATTTGTTAAGACTCCCATTTTTAAAAGTCACTCTACAATATGGACACACTATTGCTGTAAATGTTGTCAAATAAATTTCACATATATATATATATATATATATATATATATATATAAATATATATAAATAAAATAAGTTATCTAGGATGAGTTCTGAATAGATGGTGAGAGATGTTATTTGTGTTTTAGGACTGGTCTGTGCATATAAATGGACCCCAACACGCTAATAGTCAACTCAGTCTTGTGGAAAAGTAAGTTTTGTTTTATTTTTTATTTCTGTTCATGCTTGTGCAACCATGATGCTAAACATGTATAGGGGACGAGCCAGAAGTTCAATCATTTTAGGTTATGTGTCAGGGGTTCACTTCCACTCACATATTGATATAATGCGGATCTACTGTACTGAAACATGTAGATTAAAGCAACTGCCAAAATGAGCAAATCAAAATGAATATTTTAATCTTTTAGATATCCAGCGTGGGATCAGACAATCCATTCTGCACGGAGGTAGAGTCATTCCTAATCCTATTTATACGTTTCATAAATTGTACATTTTCATAAATGTTTGGAACGTGCTATTTGTATTTATCTTTTACAGGAATGAGCCTGAATCCGAGAGACCAAAGCATGGAACAATCCAGGCAAGAGGTGAAGTGAAGTCTTTACCCCCTCCTTAGTCATGTAATCATTTTCTAGATATGCACTCTAAATAAGACAGGGTTGTGCTTTTTACAGATAGAATCTCAAGCCAAAAAATTGGACCATCAGGCAGCAGAAGTGGAGCTTCGACCAGTAGAAGTGCACCAACAAGCCGTAGAAAACAAAATAAAATTGAACCTCCATCAAAGGTGGTTTGCGTTTTTGAAGTTTGAAGTTTTAAATATCACTGTAAATGCTTGATTAACGAGACATTATTTGATTGTATTTCAATGCAGTGCAAAGTGGTGTGTGTAAAGTTTGAAAACAATGAAGTGGATGAAACCTACCTGAAACATTTGCTTGGCCAGTTTGGGGCGATTGTCAAAATTATTATGTTTCCTAATCTGGTATGGAAGTTAATTTATTATTATTATTATTATAACTAAGTAACTCCTTTTTAAAAATTCTGTTATTTTGTGCCTATATTTTCATAGTTTTGCACTTGCACTTGCACTTTTTTTGTTTTTGGTTAAATTTGTAATTTTTGTAGGCTTTGGCAGAGATGGGAACGATGGGTCAAGCAGAGGATATTGTAAAATATTTCTCACAAAACCCCTTGAGGTTCAAAGGGAAAAAGCTGGAATTTTCTCTGTCTGCAGCCTTCAGTTTTCTACAGGTCAGTTATATTCTATAAACATTGAATGTAATGTAAGCCAGGACTTTTTGATGCCAAAT